AAGTCAAAGTGTAGAAAGGCTGTTGAAGCATTTTGACAAATAGCCTCTAGGACAGTGGTTGGCAAACTGCGGCTCGCGAGCCACATGCGGCTCTTTGGCCCTTTGAGTGTGGCTCTTCCACAAAATACCACATGCGGGCACGCATGTACAGTGCGATTGAAACTTCATGGCCCATGTGCAGAAGTCGGTCATGCACAGAAGAGGCACACTCAAGGGGCCAAAGAGCCGCATGTGGCTCACGAGCCGCAGTTTGCCAACCACTGCTCTAGAAAGTGAGGAATATTGCTGCCAGCACACTCACACTGGTAGTGTCCTTATTTTTGCTCTGGAAATGACGAGGTCAGTGGTGGAGCATACTGGAAAGAGAAAGAGAGAGGATTCCAAGCAACAAGGGAGTGGGGCACAACAGACAAGTGATTTTGTACCTATTTATATGCACCACTGATCACGTGCCTCACTTCAGGCATCTGTGTGCTCATTTGCACAATGTGCTGGGGAAAGATACAAAATGAGTAGGACTGCCCTAGTGGGGAGTTCTGAAGAGCAGCAGTGCCTAGGAAGTCCAGGCTTTGGGAGGACAGATCGCATGTTAGAGAACTCTATGTCAGAGAATTCCATGTTAGAGAATTCTAGGAGAAGAAGTAATCCGGTTTGTGAGGGGAGATCAGAGCTTGTGGAAGAAGTGGCTTCTGAACTGGGCTTTGGGAAATGGCATTCCATGAACAGGAAAAGAAATTTGGGTTATAGGATTTCATGAGCAAAAAAACATGAGGGCCAGGATGTTCAGGGCATTTTAGCAAAAGAGCAGAGTCCAGTTTTGTTGAAGTAAATACAGTGCATGAAGGAGAACAATGAAATAACTGTAAAAATAAAACCATAAACTTTATGTGCATATTAGAAGGAATCTTAGTGGTAATCGCTTATAATCCTCCTGTCTTACAATCGAAGAAACAGGCTGGGCTAAAATCAGGTGATGGGAGACTTTGAATATAATTCATATATTAAATAAGTATGTATTAGATGGATATGAGCAGGCCCAGCAACACTGGGCAGCGTACCTCCCTTTATGACAGGCTCCATAGACAATGGCCCACTGAGTTTCTGTACTCTGGCATCAGTATTGGGATGAGCAGTTTGTTTTTCCCCTTTAAGACAGCAGAAGCATAAGTAAATCAACAACGTGCCTTAACCCCTTCCCCCCTCCCTCCCAGCTTGTGATAATCACAGATATGTGGGCCCCTAGTCTGGACTCCTGTACCACTTTCTGTTCCTCACAGATACTCCTCATATGGTGTGTTTCATAGAATGTTCATGTGTTCTCCCCTAAGGGCTCTGTCATTAAAAACAAAAAAAAAACAAAAAAACCTTTGAAAATAACGTGTATCATATGACCTTCTTTAAGATTTACTCGGAACCTAGCATATTTAAGGCTTTGAGAAATTCTAAATAAATCTATTTAACTTTTTTTAAAAAACAACCCAGTATCCCAAATTTATTTCATAGTTGAACTTTTTTCATGGAATACCACTAACATCTTGAGGAACACTAGTGTTTAATAGATTCATTTTGAGAAATGTTTCCAGAACATGTGCATTTTGTATAACTTTAACTCTTAGCTGTTTATGTTGTAAGCTATTTTTCCCGTGAGAAAATACCAAGTTTTCCTGCTCTTTCTAGTAGTTTCCTTTAGCTATTGAAACCAGAAAAGGCTGGGGCCCCCAATACTATGAAATCCTCTTCTGTGGGCAGTGACAAACACTGAAGCTGTTAAAGCTAAGACAGTGTAAGATGGGGTCTGGGTATTAAGGAGAACTGCTGGCAATGGTGTGTCAGGTGGATTAAGGCTAAGGCTGTTAGAGCAGGATTTTAGACAAGATATAAGGCCAGTATTTGGAGCTGTCCCACTGAAAGTGGAATGTACGGGACATATATAAGGAAAACAACAGAGGTAGGTGTTTGAAGCTGATTGGCTAGAGCAGGGGTGGGCAAACTTTTTGACTCGAGGGCCACAATGGGTTCTTAAACTGGACCGGAGGGCCGGAACAAAAGCATGGATGGAGTGTTTGTGTGAACTAATATAAATTCAAAGTAAACATCATTACATAAAAAGATACAGGCTTTTTTTTTTTTTTAGTTTTATTCATTTCAAACGGGCCGGATCCGGCCCGCAGGCCATAGTTTGCCCACGGCTGGTAGAGGAAAGTTAGTTGTTGGATGATGGCAGGCTCTGCCCATGTGCCCTCAGGCCTCAGCTGTAATTGCGCTAGACAGTAAGTTGGCCTTCATTCAGAACACTTCAGGAGAGGTGACTGATTCCACAGTAACTATCTGCATCTTGATGTGGTATAAGAAATCCTTCATTAAAGTATTCTTGAGTCTTAACTTGGGATTGCACCTGCTCCAGTTAAGCTCTTTTCTAGTCCTGTGAAGGAGGAGATAAGCAGGATAGCAGGCTTTTTACAAATATCCTTAAAAATTGCATTTATGCCCCTCTTCACTCTTTCTATGGAGTTAAGTGATAGGCCAAGGGACCGTTATGCTAATAAATACGAATGCATGAGAAGTGTACACCTTCTTTATAAGGATCTTGGGTACTTATCACTCTTTAGCAGATGCCTGCAGAAACTATGCCACTGACTAGGCTTTTTTTTTTTCTTTAAAGCATCTCAGTAAAGGAAAGTTATATTTTCAGATGACAGGAATACCAGTATATAAGACTTATGTATCTTACCAGTTTTATTCCAGTGATTTTTATTTTTAATTTAACAAGGTAATTGCTATCTTTGATCTAATAGTCTATGTATAATTGGAAATGTCTTAGGATAGTGGTTCTGCAGATGCTTCTGGGTCCCCTTTGATGATCTGATGAGAGCTGTGGACCTTCTTCCTCGGAAAAGGCACTAGGGAATTCACAGCCATTTTTATGTGTCATTTCATGGATGTCAGCCTATGGCTTTGTTCTTCTATTGACAGTTTTTATTTTTCGTCAGTACTGCTTCTTTGTAAGCAAATGCCTTATTCACTCAACAAGTATTTTTATGCACTTACCTTGAGCCAGGCCTGGGTACTGCATTGAACAAGACAAAGAAGGAACTTGCCTTCATGGAACAGTAAACAAATACTACATTCCAAAGTTATTGAAAACTATCTTAATTTTATATGCTAGAAGGGAAAAATAAGTTAGTGAAAAAATATTTGGGAGGTTATTTTGTGTAAGGTGGATTAGTATACAGGGTGGAGTAAAAGTAGGTGTATGTGAGTATGCGAAACCATTTATTCTTGCATTATTTATTAATTATTGTATTTTCCATATGGGCAACTCTAAACCTACTTTTGCCCCACTCTGTATCTGCTAAAACTAAATGGGAACCTTGTAGGTAAGAAATAAAACATAATTCTGTAGAGCTTTTTAAATATAAAGTCAAAATATTAGAATTATAAGAGATGAAGTAGTATTCGCACCTTGTTGCACAAATGGACAAATAAAGCCTAGAGGTGGGGCTAGGTGAGAGCTGGGCCGGTTCTCTGCCCCCGGCTGGCCCTCTGAGTTGGTCTGTGTGCTTGTGCCAGGCTCCTCAGTTCCTAAGAACCTTAACCCAACTGCAGCACAGCGACCTGAGCTACTGCACCACCACATTCCTGTTTCTGTTCTCATATCTGACTCCCAAGGCCCTTTCACAAGAGACGCTGTTCAACTTTGTTTTAAGATTGAGATTAATATGCAATTAACTCCTTCTACTCTTGAGAAAATATGTCAGTTACTCACTGGAAAATGTGCAAATGCATCTGATCCAATGCTGTTGAAAATGGTAAGAATGACTTGTGTTTTGCTAAAATGGAGCAAAGGGAACAGGCAGAACATACAATTTTGAATCATTTACCCTTCACCAGCCATTTGCTGAACAGATTACAAAACTGTGGTGGGAAATGATCTGTAGTCACATTGTGAAACTTGGTTTGATGTTCTTCTTTCTCATTTTAATTCTGAGGGTTGAGACCTTTGAGACAGCAACAGTACGAAGTCAGATAGGCTCTTGGTACCCTTCCTTTTTTTCCCTACCTTTCATTCCATAGTACTTGAGTGCTTCCCATGTGTTGGCACTAGGGACACAGTGATAGCCAAAGCGAAATGGTCCCTGCTCTTATGGGGCTTATGGTCTAGTGGGGAAGGTAGACATTAATAACATTATCATTTTGGTGGCCGCATACTTAAAACTTGAAGTAAGGTCTATAAAGAAAAGAAAAGGAAAATATTTCTACAACACATATAACAAAGGACCCCAAAGGCCACAGTGCTTCCCTGTGGAAATGGTGCTTAGCTGAGAACTGAAGAATGGGACATGATAGCAGCAGTACAGAAAGAAGAAAGAATGCAAGTGTATGGCAGTGAAGACTCAAAAGAAGCGGACAAATAGCTGGGAGATAGGTCTTGAGGATGTGGATATGGGGGGAGATGCAGAGAGAGGTCCCCAGGATAAACCCCAGGTTTCTGGCTTGTGCAACCAAGTGGACTTTGGCAGCATCCACAAAGAGAACGTCAGGTGTGGGGCAGAGAGATTGTAAGATGTGGTTGAGGCCTTTGAGACAGCAACAGTACGAAGTCAAATAGGATGTTGGTTATACGGGTCTAGAACTCATGAAAGGTTTGAGTCAGAGATTAAAGTGCACGTCACTGATGATTGCTCTTTACTTGACTTACACAAGCAGAGTATTAATAGGAATGGGTAATTCTTTGAGATCCCTTTCTAATGAGTGCAATAAAAGATGCCAGATTACTCCTCTTTTCTGTAGCAAAAGCTAATCCTTAGTAAATATGGATTTACCTATATGTTTTTGTTAAATCTTTGTTTATAATCCATTGCAGAGCTTTTCTAGTGAGTGTATCAGTTTTTACATATTATATCATTTTCAAGAGAGAGAAAAGATGTTTTAGTGAACTTGAGACATGCTAATCATATGTTAAAATAATAGACTTTTAAAAAATGTTTTTCTTTCTCTAGATTTGATGTTGAATTTGTTCTCTCAAAACCTACTTCTGAATGGAATGGGAAAAGGGGACACATTTCATTAGATCTTCTTTCTGAATTTTTGAAAAGAAGTTCAGACAAATCCAAAGTTCTCATCTGCATTTGTGGACCAATGCCATTTACAGAACAAGGAATGAGGTGAGTAGCAACATGGTAGAAAAAAGAACCCTTATGCATGTGAAGTGCTTAGCACAGTGACTACATACAATAAGTACTAAATAAATGTTTATTATGTTCAGGAACATTTTAAACAACCATTTCTAAGATTTCAGTCTCCATTTATAGTGTTTTCCAAGTTGAATTACCCATAAGCAGTATTTCTACTTTTTCGGTTCAGTGGAGAGAGTAAAGATAGAATGCTGTGGGGATTAACTCCTTACATTGAAAACTGGTGAATAAAGGAGGAAAAAAATCAAGCATTATGTTGCCTTTTCTATATGAGCTGTACTACAGGGTAACCACATAATAAATGAGAAGTTTTTCTTTACAGAGTTCCTGAGCTTATAAATGAAGAAAGAATGATAGGAGTAGAATATCACTAATTTCAGATCCTAATGAACTACTAATGGATAGACCATAAATCATGGATAAGTGTTAGCATCCCAAAGGAGAGGCAGTCAAGTATTATGTGCCTCCTAATGGGAGAATACTACCTATGAAGTAGTCTTGTCAAAAAGAATTTGACCTGACCTAGCCTGTAGATCCAAGTATTAAGTTATGGACAATAAGAGGATATAAGTTCATATTATTAACATTTATCACAGCGACGCAGCAAAATGAGGACTGTGGGTGACTCAGTGCGTAAAGATCTGATTTTTGTTGGATAAACTGCAGTACACACACAGAAAGAGAGGGGGAGATGAAAGAGAATCTTATTAAAAGACTAGAGGCCTGGTGCATGAATTCATGCACCAGTGGGGTCCTGGCCTGCGGGATCGGGCGAAATCGGCTCTCCAACATCCCCCGAGGGGTCCCAGATTGCAAGAGGGCACAGGCCAGGCCATGGGACCCCACCCATGTGCACAATTGGGACCAGGGAGAGACCTGGGAGGTTGGCCAGCCAGGAAGGGACTGTGGGAGGGCTCCAGGGCGTGTCTGGCCTGTCTCTCTCAGTCCTGATCAGCAGGACCCCAGCAGCAAGCTAGCCTACCAGTTGGAGTGTCTGCCCCCTGGTGGTCAGTGCATGTCATAATGAGCAGTTGAGTGGCCTTAGCATATCATTAGCATATTACACTTTGATTGGTTGAATGGCTGACCAGTCAACTGGACACTTAGCATATTCGGCTTTTATTATATAGGATTTTATTAGCTAATCATAATGAGTAGACTTTAAATGGATCTTGATTCAAATAAACTTTTAAAAATTATGGTACTTATGAGACGAACACTAGATATTTGGTAATATTAAAGAATTGTTAATTTTTTAGAAGTGATAATTGTGGGTGTTTTTTTTTTTACAGTACATAGTAAATGAGGAAATTAAAAAAGTACTATGCTTATGATGCTAAACTTTGATGTTACTTCTTTACTTTCCCTAAGAGACTTGTGCTTTGTATTTGTTTCTCAGGATGCTGCATGATCTTAACTTTTCCAAAGATGAGATCCATGGTTTTACTGCATAATGAAGAGCTGTCATCTTTTACTCAACTGTTTTATCTAAATTTGTGATGGCTTAGGGTTTTTTTAAGACAACATTTTTGTATATACTAAGAGGTTAACCGGACTCCAGGCTTGTTTCTTAAATGAAATCACTATGGAAAACCTGTTGACTTTATTTTATACCATAACTTATTTTACTACTGATATTTGACCTGGAAAGTCAATCATGACAACAAACACATGCAGGTTGTTTGTTATGAGTCACAAGGTTTCTTACCGTTTAAATTGTCTCACTGTTCTACGATGAGCTCTTGTGTTTTATGACATGATAAAGTAAATGATCATTTGGATCATGTTTCTATGCTGTAAAATGTCTTAGCAATACAGACTAAATTTTACATTGCACTGTTAACTCAGGAAATGATCATTTATGTTATTGTTATTAATATTAAAACATGGAATGTTATACCTTATTAAGTGATTTAAACAATTTCTGTGTGTGTGTGTGTGTGTGTGTGTGTGTGTGGCATTGATACAAAGTAGAATAAAAATATACTTAAGTACTTTTTAATCTTTGACCTAGAAATGTGTTTGAATGCAACAATATTGGGCCCGTGTCTAAGGGAAATTTTAAAAGGCAACAATAAAAGATCCTGGAGCTGCTTAAGTCAGGTGTGGTGGAAAATTTAAAAGAACCTTGGCAGCTGGTTTTATTCTCAGCCCAAGCCAGAGGCATTGCGAAAGAGAACGAAGATGTCACTTCTGGTCCCATGGCCTAATCCTTTGGTGCTATGGAATGGGTTAAGTGTAATTGTTGCTGAGCCCATCCAGACCAGCAGGGAAAGTGAAGAACACAGCCAGCTGCTTCCTCACAGCTGGCAGTCGGCAGGGAGCCCCCCTCCGTTTCGTGCTGGACACTTACTCTCCCTCCCTGCTGCTGTGTGCGCAGCTTCAAATGCCTTCCCAGGTTGGGATGCAGACAGGCTCTCAAAACAAGTCTTTGTGCACTTTCATGAGGAAACTGTTGAATGCAAAGGTGACTGTTGCATAAGCTAATAGATTCTTCAGTCTCGTTTAAGATGGCAGCAATGTTTTCACAGAAATAGGGCGATGGGAGGGGTCTCCAATTTCCCTGCAAATGATTTTGCAATAGCTCAGTCTTCACTGAATGAGTGATGCACCCAAGTGGAACCCAGTATTAATATTCCTCAAATTGCTAACACCAGCTTATGAAACTCCTTGTGTACCAGTGGCTGGTTGAACACTGTCATCTTTTCCTGTGCCTCCCTCTTATTTTTTTTAAATTGAATTTATTGGGGTGACATTGGTTAATAAAATTACATAGGATTCTATAATACATCATCTGTATAATATAATGTGTGTTTACCACCCAAAGTCTAGTCTTCTTCCATCACCATTATCCCCTCTCTACCCCTCTCTACCACCCTTCACCCCCTTTCCCTCTGGTAATCACCATGCTGTTGTGTGTCTATGAGTGGCCAGTCCTACCCACATCACCATTCGCCCAGGCAGGATCTCGCCGTCCTGGGCCAGCAGTGCTCCTTGCTGGCTAACAGGAACATTCTCTAGCTTCACACCTCCCTACTGCCTCCTTCTTCTCCTCTAAGAGGGATCATGTACTTTCTGGACACTTTCTCATCTTTTCTAACTCCTTCCTATTTTCTCTCTCCTTCAATCCTTTTCTAATTACCTCATACAAACGAAATCGCCTGTTACTTCCTATGTGTATCTCTTCTTCATTCCTTTTCTTATTATATTTTAAAGTAAAAGAAAACCCATAAGCATGTTCTGGGTTATCTCTTGCACTCACATGATTTTATCAACCTATATGTTAGTAATTCCCAAATTGAGAATCAGCTGAGCTTCAGTTTCCAATAGCCACTTACCTGCTGGATACCACCTCGATATTTCTTCCACAAGCCCCTCAAACTCAACATGTCCCAAACTAAATGTACACCATGATCATTTCTCCCCAAGTCTATCCCTCCTCTTAAATTCCATCTCTAACTCACTGGGACTACTTTCCACCCAGCCAGCCTTTCTAGACCCATTGGTTATCAGCGTCTCCCTCTCCAATCTGATCTACCAGCTGACCATGCCTATCTCCCCTCCCCTGGATTAGTACAGGAGCCTAATAATTGGTTTTCCTGTTGAATTGTGCTCTCACTGAGGCCCACTCTCCATCCCAGTGTGTTCTAGCATGCCTTGGAGAGAAAATCCCCTAAATAGAGCCTCAGTCTTCCAATATACAGTGTGCCACAGAGGGAAGTAGAGGTTGTCACTATTGTGCTTGAGCAGTAAGGAAAGAGAACTACATTCAGTCACTTTTGCTTAAGAATTCTGCTTGCTTGCCTTTTTTTTTTTTTTAATGTGTTAATGTATTAGTTTTCTATTGCTGCCAGGACAAATCAACACAAACTTAGTGGCTTAAAATAACAATAACAATCCCTTTATTATCTTCCATTTACCTGGCTTAGAAATCTGGGCACAACTGAGCCCAGTGGGGTCCTCCGCCCAAGGCCTCACAAGGCTGGACCCAGGTTGTCAGGGGGGCTGGGCGCTTCTCTGGAGGCCGTGGGAGGCTGGGCTTCCAGGCTCATTCAGGTTGCTGGCAGAACTCGGTTCCCTGTCGCTGTAGGTTGAGTTCCACTCTTCCTTGCTAGCTGTCAGCCTTGGACCAGTCTTTGCTGGTAAAAGCCACCCACATCCCTTCTCAGGCTGTCTAAGTGCCCCTCCAGCCTCTCTCGCCCCAGCTGGAGAAAGTTCACTGCTTGTAAGGCCTCACGTGATTAGAGGCCTCACGTGATGAGAGTGGCACCACCCACATCACCCGGGATGATCTCCAGATTTGAAACTAACTTCTCAGCTGCTAAGTCTCTTTTGCCATTTAATATAACATTTTCAAAGTTGTAGACATTAGGGTGCTGACATCTTGAGGGAGCCATTCTGCTTACCACAGTCCATAAAGAACAGAGAGGAACCTGTCCAAGGTAAGATAATTGTGTTTTGTCTAGATATCACTACGGGCCCTCAATGTGCACCTCAATGTAAATGGGAGTAGTGAGACGAGCCTTCACACTCCAAAATACAGGCATACCTCAGAGAGATTGCGGGTTCGCTTCCAGACCACTGTGATGAAGTGAGTCTCGCAATAAAGTGAGTAGTAATCTTTTTGCTGGTGGAGGGTCTTGCCTTCAATTTGTAAGAAATGCAACACCTGTGAAGTACAATAAAGTGGCATGCAATAAAACAAGGTGTGCCTGTATCAGCTTCATTATGCTGGTCAAGTCCTGGCTATACCCTCCTCTGCGGTGCACTTACTCTGCCACATGAACTTGACCTAAACTAGTTTGGGGCTGTTCTGTTGATAACCACAGACCCCCCAACTTTGCACCAATGAACCAGACCCCGTTTGGTCCATAATATTTCCAATTGGGGCTAAGCTATTGAAAAGGAAAAGTGAAACCTCAGCCTGTCCCAGTCTCTTGCTATCTTTCTGCTTTTTGTGTGTGTTTTTTGTTTTTGGTTTTTTTGTGGGTGAATTATCTTCACTCGGGGTTGCCAGTTTGGCAGACCTCAAAGCAATGCCAGAGCAAACTATCTAAATGCAAAGACGTGTTTTCTTTCTCTGTTAAAGTTCCCTTCTGTTGCCTGGTCCCCACTCATGCAATGGAGGCCCTGCGTTGGGTGCAACACTCCAATACTGAGCCCTGGAATGAGGCAGTGGTTCCACACCGGGAAAGCAAGCTGAGAGGACCCTGGGCTGCCGCCCCCACCCTCCAGCAAGTGCTGGGCTCTTCGAAAGAAACTTGCTATTGTCCCCATCCCCAACATTCAGGTCCCAGTCTTTTGGGGGCTATAATATTTCATTTTTCTTGAATGAAATGATTAGAAATGAAATTGCTGGGTTCTATGGTAACTGTATATTTAACTTTATTTTAACCCTAATTTATTCTGTGTATATTTCTAGGCCTAATGTAGGTATGCATACCTGTGAATCATGCTTTTTTAAATATACTATTTCAAACTTTTAAGGCAATACCAGATTGTTTATTTTGTTGTGTTTTGTTATTTTTACAAATGGTCCATACCATTTTATACTGTTGCCAGTATTGTAAGAGACTTTCAATTATTCCACACTAGAGGACCGATGCACAAAATTTGTGCAAGAGTAGGCCTTCCTTCTCCTGGCTGCCGGCTTCCCTATGGCCGGCAGGCACCCAGGACCCGGGCTTCCCTCACAGCCCCGCCTTCGTCTGGAAGGACGTCCGGTCTAATTAGCATATTATGCTTTTATTATTATAGATTCTCACCAACTTTGAATTATTAATCTTTTAAATTTTAGTGTTAGTGCTATCTGATTGGGGTTTTAATTTGCATTTGTCTGATGTGTGATGATATTGAACATATCATCATCATGTGCTTATTGCCTTGGTGTATTAACTTTTGTAGGGTGTCTATTTAAATCTTTTACTATTTTTAAATTGGATTGTTTTTCTCCTTGTTATGGAGTTGTAAGCATCCTTTACATATTCCATACCCAAGTCCTTTATCAGATATGCTTTTTGAATATTTTCTGTTGTGTGACAGTAAGTCATATGTGTGCTTTCACAGCTGTTAGTGTGTAGGGCATGAACAAGCTTAGAGACATACACCAATTTAGATTTGAGCAAAATAAAATAAATATTAGTACAGAAACCAACTGTGAAGTTGACATGTGGATGACAGATCCTAGGGGGAGAACTCTGGCAGCAGATGAGGGGACGTCTGGAGGGAACAGGTCTGGGAGGCAGTCAGCCAATGGGTTGACAAGGCACCTTCTGCTCTGCTTCTGTGGGGAACACAGTAAGTAAAGGAAGTCATAACTGTAGCCATGAGGGCAA